CTGGATTTTTTGAGGGGCTCAGATTTTTTGAGGATCCCGATTTTCTAAATGCTCATTGTTTTCGAAACAATAGAGCGCGTTCAAGTAACGTTTGTAAAGCAGCTAGCCTGCCACCGAGTGACTGAACATGATTAGTTCTTACACTGAGAAAAAAAAGTGGTTAACTGAACTAAATGCGTTTAGTTGGTTATGATTTGTTTAATCGAAATACCAATATATTTGAGTCAAATATGCAGTAGTACATCGAATCAGTATCTTTAATTCAAAACAACAAAATAATTTTGTTGCTGAGTTTAATTAAATGAACTGTGACTGTTGTTGTACTAATCAAATTATAATCAATTGGAATAAGCAGCAATATTGATTCAACATCCATATATGACATTGAATTAACATAAATTTTGTTGTGTTAAAATAGCTTCGTTGTTTCCTTCAAATAACTAGTTTAGTTGTACAGAATAAATTTAACAATAGGAACCGAGATAGATTGAAATGTTTAGTTGGACCAACTAATAATATTTCATTCTATACAACTTATAGATTTTTTTCAATTAAATGAGGAAAATACTTCAGCAAAACAAAATTTATGTTGAATCAATCCCACATAAGTATGATTGATTCAATATTACTGCTTCTTCAAATTAATTATAATTTGATTAATTCATCAAAAGTTGTATTTTTAGGCAACAAAATTATTTTGTTGTTCCAAATTACAGATATTAATTTGCATTATTACCGTGTATTTTATTCAAACGTGTTATGTGATCACAAGGATCAGTGATCTAATTGACGTTACACTTCTGAAACTGTACGAAGCATTTCGCTATTCGCGAAAACCGCGGCTGAGCAGTGATGGAGGGAGGTTGCTTTTCCATGATTGGTTCTTGCGCGAGATTCTTCCGCGCTACGATTGCATCATCGCGCGGTAAACGTTGCCACATTCTGTAGGCATGTGTTATTATGTGAATACGTGATATGTAGCAGTTTGTGTCGTTTGTGAATGTGCTTCTGTGAGACGCAGTTTTTGATAAGTACAGTTATCACATTCCTAACGCGGAGAAAAACTTTTGATCCTCCATCAAAGGTTGGAAATCGTACAATTCGAAACGCATACGTGACACGTACATGTGTTTTACGGTTATTTACGTTCTGATTTCACTGTAAATTATATTGTGATGGATGACTATGTGAAAGAATTATTGAAATCATGGGATTTAGAAGTTCTCGTTGATCAGTTCAAAGGTAATATCTATATTATTTTAAAACCTAACCTGTTAATGCTTAATCAAACGTAGATATAGGTAATTGGCAAAGACATATAGAGAATGGACTGCGCGATCCGTATCTAAGTAGTGTATCAAATGTGGTCGACAATAATGAGAGAGAGGACCGTGGAAGACGACCAATCTTCCTCTCATTCTCTCTCCCATTATACCGTTGGATGGAAAGAGATGGCCGTCTTCCACGGTCCCTCTCTCTTACTTTTATCGACCATTTTGATCACGGATCGCGCAGTCCATTTTCTATGTCGTTGGTAATTGGTATCAAAGTTATCGTGAGAATTATTTTAAATCCTTAACGATTATAAATGCCTTCCTGCTGCTTTCCATATATGTATGCCTTTCTTTTAATGCACGTAACGTATCTTATATGAACGAATGCGCATATAGAAAAGTAGCGAGAAGGCATTGGGTTTGTTTTACAAGCCAACATAGCAGCTAATCTACTCGCCGAGTAATTAAACATGATGTTTTTATTTATAGATCCAATCAATGACTGCGTTTAGCATAGGAAAAGCAATTTAGTACACGCTCAGTGATTCCTTGCTATGATTGGTTTTTATACTTAGATCGAATGAAGAATTAAAGAAAAGGATCAGTCATATTAAAGATTCATTAAGTATTCACTGGACTGCTTTCTCTGCTGAATGCATCCAATCACACTCAATAGCTCGGTGAGCAGGCTAGCTGTTTTGTCGGTTTGAACATGCTCATAGTTTTATAAATTAATCTATTTTCTGTATGTATTAATATAATATTGGCAATAATTAATAATCTTTTAATTATCTGCACGAAATTGATTATTTACATTTTTCGTAAAATAGTTAAGCGAAAATTTTGATTTCTGTATACACACACACACACACACACACACATATACATTATGCATGTATTGGTTTACAGAAAATTGTATTGATAAAGATTCAATAGCGTATTTAACATCAAATTTAATAAAAGAATTAATTCCGCAAATTGGACTTAGACTTAAATTTAATAAAAAATGGCAAGAACACTTCACTGAAGCGAAAGATGTAACACTTGTGCGTATATATTTTATCATATATTATAGTTACAATACTTATTTTTTATATAATATAATATAATAAAATTTGTCATATGTTTGATGCAAAAATATTTTTTATAGGAACGGGATAAAAATACTAATGTAAATATACATAATTGTCCATCTCATGAAGAGATCAGCGATGAAGAAAAGGAAAATGTCACTGGATCCTCGACATTCAAAAATTACAGCGACCCTCTTCATCTTATTTACGACAGCCTTCATGATGACATATGCTACATTTTCAATTTCTTAAAACTGTAAATGTTAGATTATTTTAAAATATGTATTCATTACAAAAAGAATCACACGTTTTTAAGAAGTCATACTTAAGAGGTCGAAAATTGCACGAAAATAACTCAAGTGACTCATAATCAGAGAGACAACATGTAGATGGTCGTCTAAATGTTCTCTCTCTTTCGCTTTTATTGATACATTAATTATTGAAATTACTCTTCAGGCAATTGAAGAATGAAGATTTCTGTACATTGTCCAAAGAAATTGAAGATCTATTCCCTACAGAAACACGTTTCACCTATTATATTGCACCTATAACAAAGAAGTTTTCAAAAACTAATAAATCTATCACTTCTCGTGGAAAACTTGTTGACAAATACAGGAATAAAATACGAGATTACAGAAAACTAAGAGATACTTTATCAGAAAGTGACCGTACATATAGTACAAGTTGTACTAGCGATTTTGAAGGTGAAGGAACAAATAAAACTATAATTATCTTCACTATTTATATTTACAGAGAAATTTTACAGAGAAAAGGTGAATTATAAAAGTTAGTCAAATCAAACTAAGAAAAAAAGCCACGTACCATATTTTGCAAAAATATAATATATATCGCGAAAGTTATTAAATTATTAATTAAACTGTCTGAGCCACTGATCGTACGATAGAATGAATGTTGTAGACATGTGTGAAAAAAAAGAATTCCCGATGAAAGAAAAAATAGTTTATTCCTTGTAAGGAATAATATCAGAGACGTTTTTTCGTTATGCAACCAAAAGCAACCGCAGCTAAGGCTATCTTCGTTTTCTGATTCCTGAAGATGAAGATAGCCTTAACCGCGGTCACTTTTGGTTGGATAATAAAAAACACTCCCTAGGTGTTAACATATAGTGAGCAATGGAGTAACGCAGCATGACGCCATTTTTCGCTATCAACTGATGCAGTCCGCTAGGAACATCTGAGGAGTAAATCATTTTCTTTTCGGAAAGCATTCTCTCTTTATATATGCCTAAACATTCTAGGCGTCTCATGCGCTCATTAACTCAGACATTTTAATTAATAACTGTTACGATTTTTGCAAAATGAAATACGACTTTTATTGTCTTTACTTGTTAGACCTGATTAATTCATCATTCTCAAAATTTCCCGAATATTCTATGCGTGCGTGCGTGTCTGCGTACGTGTATATATGATTAAATATATATATATAAAACATATATATATATAACTTATATGTGCAGATGAAAACGAGGTGCCTGAAAGTGTATTGTGGCTCCAAACTAATTTATCACCTTGGCAATTAGTTGAAAATCATTGGAAAGTTTCTACACCATACAGACGAAAGCAAATTCAGTCATCCTCAAATAAAAGCATTTCTGATATTTTTGTTAATTGGCCTATTTTGAAGCATCCTTCGGCACACCTCTTGATTGATGAGGATTTCAAATTCTTGAAATTAACATCAGAGAATTGCGTGGACAATTGGTTAAAATTTTTTTCTCAGATTCAGAAAATTTGTCCTTTGAAAGAAGATAAAGTTACGATCGAATTACGTTCTATACTCGAAACTGACGATTTGACGGACAGTAAGTTTACGACACAAAAAATTATAAAATAAAGTCATGAAGTATTTATTACATATTCATATATTTATGTTTCCAGATGCAAAAATTGTAATACAATTATTATTATTGCCCCATCTAATACCACCAAAAGGAAGAATTCGTATAAAAAAAGAACATTATAAACCATCAATAAGTGAATGTAAAGATAGTATTATATCACATGCAAAGGTATCAATTTACGTTTGAAATATTCGTACATGTGAATTTTAATATATAAAAAATATACATATGATTTTATTTGTAGATTCATGGAGATATAAATCGTATTCAAGAAGAAAAGGAAAGGAGAGCACTTCAATTAGGATTAACAATACAACCATATATAATAGTTGTTGGCTCTACCCTTGCAGAAGTAAACGCATTTTATGTTTGTATTGATAAGGTACTCTATCAAATTTCAACAGCGCTAGCAGCAGTTGATTTATGTTTCAAAATATTTCATGTCTTTGATGTTACTTATCCGCCAGAAAGTGAGCACATATGGTACATAATACAGCTCTGTCTGTATAAGTTCTCGACTAAGTCCGATAAACAAATCTCATATGTGATGCCAATTATAAATACTTTAACTAGCGATAAGTTTCACTCCACAGATGATTAATCTTTCAATATTTTCCACATTTTTATGTTACGTTCTATTGTTGCATATTTTTGGTTAAAATTATTTTAAGCTTTACTTGAAGTTATTCACAAATTTTTAAGTTGATTAACTCATATATATATATA